ATTGCAAAATTCAGAGAAGTTGAATCTTGAATGCTATCTGCATTTTGCTTCCCATGTTGTTTCAGAAAGTGTGGACTCAGCTTGCCTTTAAATGTTACCAGAACAGAAGTTCTTCCTCATCCCTAGGCTCTCTGTAGACCAATTCTTTAGCTCTGCTGGATATGACATGGGTGGGGAATAACTGGACACATTATACATCACAATGCATTAAGGGTCAGCCAGATCCAAGTCTAGTTCAGGCTCAAGAGGTATTCAAGACTTAAGGGACTTGAAATTTGGTCACACGGCTCCAAAGGTAAATTCCTGCTGGTGGCCCTGGATGAAATCATACCTCCATGAGAGGAATTGCATGTTAGCTTTGACTCTAAAAAGCGGAAGAGATAGAAAATTTCCTTGAATTTCTTTACATTGCAATCATCAACCTGAGAGTGAATTGCAGTGCTGATAAATAATTTGTTTAAGCTTGTTCTGGGCTGAGTTGTAATAACTATTTGCTTATGCTAGAGCTTATTATTTCCCACGTAAACCTTTGAGTTCCCAAGTCAGCATGTAGCAGGTTGCAAATGGCATTTGGAAAGGGAATTTGCAGCATTTTATAGGTAGAATCTTGAAAAAGGAGTGTGGGTCACAGGCAGAAATCAAATTGCAGCACAAATTTCCTGCTGGATGTTTCTTACCCAGACAACAGATGGAAAAATTGGCACCAAAGCTGAGGTTTCCTCAGGGGCATTCAAGGCCACTAACATAAAAGGATTCTATTGAAAGAGGGGTCTTAAATTAAAAATAAAAATAGTAATAGTTGTTTTGGTAGTGATTCATTGCTGCCATATAAGTAGGCCTGAGAAAGGGAACCTGCAATGCTGATCTCCTTTACAGTTGATTGTTTTGTGTGAATACACATACACTGCTTGATTGTAAAAACAAAACAAACCTCAAAGCGGTTTACAAGAAGATAAAACAATAAAACCTATTTTAAAATTACAACCATAGTTTAAAGCAAGCAAAAGTTAAAATACTAAAACAAATTAAGATTACCTCAACTTCCTAAGGATCTGGTGAGGAAATGTTTTTAGCAGGCACTGAAAAAGAGTACAGTGAAGGTGCCTGGTTAATATCCAGAGGCAGGGAGTTCCAAAGTGTAAGGGCTGCCACACTAAACAACCGAGTCCTTACAAATGCAGAATGGGTATTATGTGGCACCTGAAGTAGTGTCAATTCTGCCAATCGAAGTGGTTCAATGTGGGGTAAGGAGATACCATAGGTAAGCTGGTGCCAAGCTGTTAAGGGATTTACATACCAATTAGACCATATTCTGTTACTCTGAATGGTTAAATTTTCCTCTGAAGAATTAATTTATAGTCAGTGATCTATAGTGATATGCATGTGCTAGATGCAAAAATGCTGTTTAATAATCCATTTTGGTTTTTAATGCTGCTACAAATAGTGTGTTGTGTGCATCTATTAAAAAATACTGCTTGAATTTGGCTTCTAAAGTACAGCTGCGGAGGCTCCCCCCCCATATGTTCTTCACAGTGGTAACTGCTTAATGGTTTAATCCATAGATTCCAATGACTTCATTTAAAAGGCTCCTTTTCCGAGGAGGAGTAGAGAGCGCGATGATAAATTAAGCAAGGTAAAAGAAAAGAACATTTTTGGATTAATCTAAACACCTTATTTATCTGGATTACCAATGAGCTAAAGAAATCCAGGTTGCTAAAGATGAGAGTGTTGTAAATCCTATTTATATCTACTAAAATTTCCTTATTTTTCCTAACTCCTTCATCTGTGCTCATACATCAAGTCAATGTAGTGTGACTTGCTCTACTAAAGTGGAACCAAAGGTCAAGGTTTTCAATCTCATTGTACTCATGCGGACACCTTTTTTGTGTAACACCTGACTGATTCAAAAATGGAATTCTGGTTACTGAATCCATCAAGACATGGACCAGTCTAATGCTTAGCCTTGGGGGCGGGAAAGGGGGTGAAGCAGTATTGCAGAAGTGAAAAATAAACACATATAGAGTTATATCACAGGTGAATTTGCAGCAGTGTGGTTGTTTTCATTTGTATTTATCACCTTCTGACACTTAATAACGAATGAATACTGGAAGCACTTGCAGTAGAATGGTAGTTATTTATAGTGTAATGCTATACAGGTCTACTCAGATATAAACTCCATTGAGTTCCATGGGATTTACTTCTAGGTAAATAGGAGTGCTTCCAGATCAGAACTGTATATCACAAGTAGGCCATTCAGATTTTTTCAGTGTACACAATTGTTACATTAGCTTCCACACATCACCATTTTTTTACTTATAGTATTCATTGCTGTTCTGTTGTTTGTGGCCTATACCAGTGGGTGGACCATGCTGGAATGTATCTGAGCTGTGTTTCTATGACCACATTCACACCATAGATACCAGTTTAAACAGTCATGGCTTCCCCTAAAGAATTCCAGGAGCTGTAATTTGTTAAGGGCACTGAGAGTTTTTAGGAGATCCTTACCCCACCCCCCATAGAGCTACAATTTCCAGAGTGGATTAACAATCAATTCCTCTTCACAAGGAGTGCTGAGTCAATCATCTGGACAACATAATTATAAAAATGCATTCTTGGTGTATATATAGTTACAGTACATCTTATCACAGTCATCTGTTAGATGGGCTAATATATATGAGAGATATGACCTGATACGATTCATTTTGGAAGATATGATCTGACATAATCTATGTATTAAGCAGATTTGAATAAGTTGTGCCTTCTCTTAGTTTATCCACTCACTCATTCAAAACAAAGCTTGAGATGATGTGCTTTATGAAGCTGTCCTTCATTCTTCCTTGAATTTTTTTAGATATTTATGTATCGCTTAATTACCTTTTGGCATCCATCTGTCTTGGGAGACAATGGAGGAGTGAGTCTTTGGGGATGAAGTCAAACTGTTGGAAGGTTGAAATGACATGCTATGCTACGCTACAAAAAGTGACAGCAACAACATAAAGCAGAAGGGATCGATAAACCAATATGCTTCCATAAAATCCAGTAGGCATTAAAAACAGGGGATGGGAAACCTGTGGCTCTCCAGAAGTTGTAGCATACAGACTTCTATCAGCCCCAGCTAGTATGGTCAAGCATGTTGAGAGTTGTAGTCCAGCAACAGCTGGAGGGGCACAGTTTCAGAACAATGTATCCCTGGCTCCTTAGATCAGACTTCCTCAACTACCGTATTTTTCGCTCCATAGGGCGCACTGGACCATAAGGCGCACCTAGTTTTTAGAGGGGGAAATCAAGAAAAAAAATCTTATTCCCCGCCCCCCAGCACCAAAGAACAAAGAAGCCAAGACAGTGAGCGGGATCCATCCTGCTGGCTGTCTTGGCTTCTTCTTTAGCCGCGCACAACCTCTCCTGCCGGAGGGGCTGCGTGTGGCTATCTCTGAAGCCTTCGGAGCGCAGCGCGAGTTCCCGCTGCGTTCTGGAGGCTTCGGGTTCCTTTTGCTGAAGCCAGGAGAGTCTTGCTCTACCGGCTTCAGCAAAAGGAACCTGAAGCCTCTGTAACGCAGCGGGAACTCGCGCTGCGCTCCGAAGGCCTTCAGGCAGCTATCCTTGAAGCCTGGAGAGCAAGAGGGGTCGGTGCACACCGACGCCTCTCGCTCTCCAGGCTTCAGTGAAAGCAACGCGAAGCCAAGGAGCGTGGAGGGAGTGCTCCCTCTGCGCTTCGGAGGCTTCGCGTTGCTATCGCTGAAGCCAAGGAGCCTGCATTCGCTTCATAGGACGCACACACATTTCCCCTCAATTTTTGGAGGGGCAAAAGTGCATCCTATAGAGCAAAAAATACGGTACAACTCGCTACAACCACAGCAAGCATGGCCAAAGGCAAGGGATGACTGGAGTTGTAGTCCAAAACATCAGGAAGGCACCAGGTTGAGGAAGGATGCTTTATACACAAGTATACAAAGTCCTACCCAGGAACAATAGTCTTGACAAAGTATCAACTGACAAAGTATTAACTAGAATTGCCCACACTAGAAATAGTGGAAATTGCCTAGTATGAAGCTCACCATCACCAGAACTGAGTGGCTCTCTATCCTGCTCTCCTGCTGCCCTCAGACTGCTTTTTACTGAAGGTATATTCTGCAACATGTACTTGACACAATAATAGTTCACAAGTGGTAGATTTATTCTGTTTTATTGTAGTTATGTGATGTTTCCCCAGTGCTGCCACATTATTGCTGCCCAGGAGGGACAAAAACCATAGCCATAACCATCCCAAAACATTTGCAAATAGTAATGAAAGCAGGACTGTGTATAATTGCCCCGATGGCATCGTGAGCACAAATCACCATAAATGTGCAATAAAAAAGGATGTCTGGAGAGGCCAGAGAGATTCAGACAAGGATATTACCCAGCCGTACCTGGAAATTCTGGGCACTGAACCTGAGTCCTTTGCATGCAAACAAAACTCTGGAGTGACGATTTGTATTTACTCCTTAGTAGGTTTCCATGATCCAACACAGTGAAATGTGCTCAAGTTCACTGAAATCAATAGGTTTAACTGTGTGTAACAGCCCTATGAATTAAATAGACAGAGGCAGTTTCTATTGACTGTTTGACCACTATTCCTAAGTTTTCGGCAACCATTTTGACAATACATTTTCTTTTTCAGTTGCTAGCTGTCACTCGGTCACCTTTCAAATGAACCAAGTTCAGGCACCCAAATGTCAGATGACAAAACCAATTCTGCTCACAGCCCCTGATATCAAAGGGTCAGCAGTTCAGTCATCCTATTTTCCCACAGCAAACAAAAGAACAAATGATCCCCTTTTCCTGCAAAACAATCACTTTTCTTCCTTCTGAGCTCCACAGGCAGGGAGTTTGGGTATACCTATGATTGGTCCAGACCCACCAGAAAGGATCTGAAAGGTAAAGAAGCTAGAGGGGGATCACACTTGACAAATCAACTAAAAGAATGTATTTCTCCCTTTCTGTTTTTTCTTCACAGTAGCTGAGGATAAATGGCGCATGCATTCCTGCTCCTGGTGTGCTGCCTCCCACAGATGTAGTTGTGTTTGAGCTGATGTATTACATTTGCCTGAGTGTCTGGCAATGAAGATTCCTGAAGAACAGTGTCGAGAGAAACTTGTCTTGGCAGACGTGTAGAAAAGCAGAGAAAAATAAGCTTCCACTGGATGTAGCTGAAGGTAACCTATTGGACACAATGTGTGTTGTTGAACAAAAGCTTCCCCTCCCCATCTTTGGATGTGATTTTAAAGGAAAATATTCTATTTATACTGTGTCATTATCGTTCAATAGGTTTCACACCATGAGAGAAAATGCCAGCCAGATATGATTGGGCTACAAAGATAAGAGGTATGGAGAAGGGGGAAACCTCTCTGCTGTACAATAGCGAGCTTTAAAATTTGCAAAACCTGAGTTCCATATCCAAATCTCAGCCATCAATCATTTATAATTATCCGAATTCATACCCAGTACAACACTCGAGGTGTTTTCAGGCAAACTGACTAACACATAAACGTTGCATTGCTGGCTGAGAGACAGGGGTGTCCATGCAAGACTCACCCCAATATCCCCATGCACATCACCCCACACACTCAGTCCCTGACCTATTCCACATGGGTTTCTATGTACTATTGTTATAATAATATATTGTGTTCTTATTTCAATCTATTACATTCCTTACCTCTTACGCTGTTTATGGGTCCTATTAAATTTGTCTGTGGATTACTGGTATCCTTGTCCTTTATGGATCCTCCTTTAAAGTTATTCAAGTTGGTGGTCATCACTATATCTTGTAAGAGTGAGTTCCATAGTTTAAACACACAGTTTAAGCATGCACATTAATGTCTCTAACTCTCTCTGCATTACCAACATGCACGTGTGCACAGATAAAGCACCAGAAAAAGGAATTTTGATGCATCTATTATAGTTGTATCAAGACTATTTAGGGAGTTGTGTTTTACAACGAACAGGAGTACATTTACATATCGATAAAACACAGTGACACAGAGTATGCACACCCCATTCCAGAATTAATTTAAGAAATAAATTTAATTTGTTTAAACCAAAATTCAAGAGGGGTGGTACACAGGGTGGGGACAAACCTTCAGAGAATTGTGGGAAAATCCACTCACTGACACATGGCTCATATCGCCTACATGTTTTGGTGCATTGCCATAGCATGTACAGTTGGTTTTCTAAATGCCAATTAAGCATTCATTCTTTCTGCCCTCCTAGGGCAATTGGTAGACTGCAAAATAACCAGGGGTTTAATTTAAACAAATATAACATTTTTTTGTCTTCCTAAACATGAGAGTTGCAGAGCACTTTGGGTTTCTTAACAGTATGTTCAAAATAGTCTGATAGTGTGATTGTGCTATAGTTCATAGTCAGGGATGATCCAGGGATTTGTTCGGTTGATGGAAAGTGGCATCATCAGGAGATTTGCTATTGATTCTGCTATCCAATGGTTAGGAGGCTACCAACCCATCCTTACATTCATACTTTCACTGTTGGCAATTCCTTAATATCCTCTGCTATTGTATCTTCTACACAAGCTCTTGGCCATAGTGAAGGTGTAAAAACAAACAAACAAACAAACAAACAAACAAACAAACAAGCCTTTTAGTGTGTTGTATTGGATGACTGGATGCAATGTGTTGTCATGCAGACAAAGTATACTTTTCATATATGTTCTGGGTCCCCATTTATTGAGTCGCCCTTTTTGTGCTTGTGAGCTATGTGCCACTCAGCTGTGCTCATGCCTTACCCAGAGAGCCAATCAACTGTGCCAGCTAGCTTCTTGGGGCGGGGCTTTACGGGAGGAAGAAACTTTTTCCTCTCATTCACTTCTGGGCATAAACTGGAGGATGATTCAGTGGCTTCAATGTTGTCATCTTTCCAAAGCATGTGACCATCAGAAATGCTGGCTCCAGAACTGGTGGATACAAATTGACATTCCATTTTCCTCCAGGAAGTTAGTTCTATATGCTGTCCAGGGCCCCATTAGATTATGAGTAGTTTCCCTGTAACCTACATGCAGTTACTCATGAGAGTTACTGCTAATTGCAATAAATTGCTTAAATTAATAATGAATGAGAAAGTATCTCATCTTAGTAGTTGAGTTGTGACTAATGCTGGCAAAAGGCTGAATCACTTTTGAAATGGCAGATATGTCTTCTGCATGTTCACCAGTGTCATTGTCACAAATGGCACAGACAATACAAGACTGAATGTCTGACTTCTTGGACTGGTAGAAAAGGAAAAGGTTGAAGGTATCACCTTTTAAAAATTTATCTTGACCCAGGTACTCCCATAAGGAGATATGTTCCCACTCATTTAAAATATATGTGAAATGTAGGAACGTGTATGGCTTGGGCTACTAAACATAAGGAAATCTGACTTCTTACAGAATTGAATAGATCCTGCCAGCAATTCTGATTCCTGAGTAAGACCTACTTCTCAAGTGGTTGGCAGTGACTCACTACAGAATCTGGTAAAGGTTTCCTCTAACCCTTCTACTTTCAAGTGGCAACACCGAGTATTGATCCCTGAGCTTCTTATTGTCCTATCTGAACTTTTCTTTTTTAAAGGATAAGTATGCAATAGCTAATATCTCCCAGTCATTATCTTCAACCTGCCTTCCAGGAGTATCATGATACTTATTCCAGGATCCATCTGATCCCTTAATTATGCAATGAGAGCAACGTATATACACAAGTTCATAGCTGAATGCACTTAGAAGCCTTCCTACAACCTCCATTATCAGGATTCCTTATCATGTGGAAGGTAGAATCCACCTTTGGACCTTCCTACTCAAAGTGGGCCAAGGACATTTGGGGCAGGGGCAGTGTGCAAAGTTTGCACACGTGTATGTGTGTGTGTGTGTGTGTGTGTGTGTAAAACCAAACTCTGATCTCTACGACCGGAATGAAAATTAACTATGCTTTACACCGATATTTTTTGACATCATTCATTTCAGCCTGAACACATTGACTCAATGCATTATTTCCTCTTGAATGGCTTTACCACCGTATGGGAGACAGTGAATACTGAACCATCTGCTTCTACCAGCCTGTCCTTTGACTGTTTCCCTCAAGCTTGCTTGTATGCATATTAGAGAAAGCAGCGCAGAGGAAGAGGAGCTCTAAATGACCAGAGCTGGGGTTAATGAGGCTACTATAGGCATGATTTACATGGCCCAAAAAATGCTGTAATTAAGACATTAGGCACACACATTTTTTAAATACTGACAATAGATGCATAAGAACAGCCATTGCAAGACAGCATAACTAGAAGCAAAAGGCCCTATTGAGCACCTAATTCTGTGTTGTGTTGTGGCTAGGAATTTTGGAATCCATCCAGTTTAACTGATTCAAGTGGCCCAAATCCAGACACATAGTGCTTTCCACTTTGGCAGTTTAAGCAAAGAGACTTATTTAGGCATCTCTCAAACAAAGCAGACCAAACAAAATTAGAGGAAATGCTAAGATGAAACATACTATTATTCTTGAGAATAAGGCATTTGGTAGCAGGAGCGAAATAAACCCTTTTGGCTGCAGTCCAGCACACCAATTTCTGTGGGCTCAAGGATGCCTAACTCTGTACTGAGTTGTGCCACTTGACTATAGTGAAACCAAAGTCACCCGCATTCAGGTACCTGGTGCAGGGATAAGGAACCTTTCACTCTCCCAATGTTTTGGAGCTACAGCTTCCATCATCTTGTTTTATGTACGATTTTAATGCCTTTTACACTGTAAAATGCTTTGGGACCTTTCTCTCAGTATGAAAAGGAACAAATAAATAAATAAAAATTAGGAAAAAATATTTTTAGATCATCCCTGACCTTTGGCCATTTTCGCTGATGACAGTTGGACTTCAAGAGCACTTGGAAGACATCAAGTCCCTGATCTTGTGGTCAAATAATTTGTAGGTTGGGCTGTGCACCTCAGACACTGAGATCTGAAGCAAACAATCTGAGGATCAAAACAATATTAGCTAAAATCAGTACTATTTTTCTAGAAAAAGAGGTGCTGGAACTTACCTTGAACACCTCTTAGAATGGCGGTGGCACCCACCTGAGAGATGCCGGAACTCTTAGAGTTCTGGCTGGGGAAAAAGCCCTGGCTAAAACCAAAGGTGTTCACCAGCCTACTTAACCTGTTACGTTGTGTTGAAAGAAAAAGAATGTGGATATAGCTGCTTTGGATCTCTGCTGCCTATTCTGATTACAAGTAGACGTCTGCTGCAACAATAGCAATATTGACTTCCATCTACAAACTTGGATATACATAATGAAAGTCAACAAAGTTAGGAAGGATACACTGGGTACTTAAGAAATTCCTCAAAGGCTTCCTGTCCTTTACCATTAAGAGCTGTTGCAAAGCACAACCCTCAGCAACATTTGTAACAGTTAATTCGGTAGACAAGCCAGGATGTCTTTCGCTTCGTGTCTTAATTAAGTGGAATTTGTTTCAGCAACTAATGCTTGTCACAAGCGCTTTTTTGCCTTAGGATGACTTCAAAGATGTTATTACACATTTAGATCATCAGCCATCTGCGTCTTAGAATTATACCAGCTTCCTGAAGAAGAAAACCCCCGGCCAGACTAATTTTTCCCCAGACTGAAGGAATAAAGTTAAAGAACTTATGGAAATGACTCTGTTATTTCCTAAAAAGATCTCTTCTCCCATTGCCTAACTCCCAATATTTGGGGTATTTTCTTTCTGCTTTGGAACCATTAGGATGTCAAATAAACCTCCCAGTAGTGAGTAGGGATTAATGTACAAACAAAGGCTTGTGGCAACAGAAGGCATTCACTCTTTCTTCTGTTTTTGTAGCTAACATTTAATGTGATAATCTAGCTCCCCTTATCACCCTTTATTGTGGTGTAGAAGGAGATAAGGACACAAACATTGGCTGACTGATTGATTAAATGGATATTTCACCCCTCAGGTATGTCAGTAACAACAATCTTCAACCTAGATTTTCAGCAGTATTTCTTGAACGCATGATCTTTGGTCTGTTGTGCTTTGACTACCTTTCTTCTTTTTACATTCTACCTTTGAGATCCATTTCCTGACTCTTTGTATTGTCCCCTGAAGTTCTTGTTGTTTAGACTTCAAGTTTAGGGCATTCCCCCAAATCTGCTCAGAAGGGTCAGGAGAACACCCATGAACAGGGGGTGGGGGTGGGAAGAGGGATGATTGACAGAATTATCACATTGGCATGATGTTGAATTTCATTGTTAGGGTGGTTGCTGTTTTTTCCTTAAAGAAAGAACTCACCCTTCAGTCAAATGCTTTCAGGGCAGTTTTGGATATTTAAGTCCTCTGATAAAGGAGGTACTAACT